TTTTTTTTTTTTTTTTTAAACATAAAAGTGAACGAAAAGGTAGTATTCATATGTATTGAAAATGATTCTGAGTATATAAAAGGTAAACAGAAATAAAATTTTAAAATTTGCTTCCAGATTTTTAAATTTCACTTAAACATAATGAGCTAATTTGAAATGTTTTGACACAGTTCTTGTTTTAACTTAGACCTAGTTTTTTTTACAGGCAAACATTTTAAAAATCAACACAAGACGTGATGTGCAGCTGTTAAATCCAGTCATTCCATGTCAGGGATGTCGTTATTTAAAAACTGAGTATTGTTTTCTGAATATGCAAATTAAAGACAAGTCAGAAGTCAATATCGGTGAATTACTCTGCAAAGGAGAGCGATCAACAGTAATATATTTCATATGTTTAGCATGAGTTAATCAAATCAATGATCATTTATCAAAGTTCTGATTTAATTTCCAACTTTCAAGATATACAAAGCTGTGCGTTACATGGACAAGTCTGGTTTGGCAAAAACGAAGACAGAAAAACCAATTATTCTCAAGGAAATGGATGAATACAGTGTAGATGTCTTGGATAACCTGTTCCGAGTAACAACTTTCTGACATCATAAGCTAGCTCCATTAATTCATTATCTGAAATTCAATGCTCTTAATTTCATGGTCTTTTAATTTTTAATTAAACTGAGTAAAATAGACAAGTGGTTATCCTGATTATTCGAGTTATAACTCAAGTGATTATTTGTTCATAAAGCGAAAAATAATCCCTTTTATATCTCTGATAAAAAATTAACGACTAGGTTAAAATGCAGAGGACAATACTTCATATATTATAATTTGATCTGTTTTATTTCAATTTTTGAAATGAAGAGAGATGAAAGCAAAGCCTTGCTAATTTTACTGCTACAAATATCAAATAGAACATACTAACTTAAGCTACAGTACAATGATTGGATTCATATTCTTAGGAACTACACGTAGTGAGTTCTATTCGTCATGCACTGGGTCCAAATAAAGCAATTAGCGTAGAAGCTGTTATGGTTAGCAGTCCACCGTATTCTATTGCCTATGGATTATGCAAAAAAGGATCATTACTTCAATATCTTGAAAAGAATAACATCAGTATGAAAAGCAAAGTGCAGGTTACTTACGGACGTTTTCTGTAAATCGATTATAGTTAATGTCATATATCATACTAGTCAGCAGTGGGACTTTGTCAAGTCTAGAAAATCATTGCATTGCAGATACTGAGCCATATCGCAATGACTTTATCTCAGTATCAAAAGATCCCTGTAATCCACGGCAATTTGAGAGCCAAAAATGTATTTGTTGATCTCAGCGACGATAAAATCGCTAAACCAATTTATTATCTTGGAGGTTTTCAGTATTCAACTTTGAGCAAGTAATAGCTACACTGATTTCTCATTCAGCAATATTCAACCACTTAAAAATTATACACATGACTGTATACAATATTTTAGTGTCGATAAATGAATAACTAAGAACGAAGTATACATCTGTAGTCAAAACTTAATTTTTTAAAAAGTAAATAGCAAATGCATGAATTGAAAAACATTTTGAATGTCCGTACATTGATTCAGTAAACAAATTAGGTCAAAAAAAGTGGATCCAACAAAGGTGGCAAATAAACGATGGCTTGCTCCTGAAGTTTTTACCACCAAACTTCTAACACCTGAGACGGACGTTTTTGCATTTGCATTCCTTATGTATGAGGTACTTACCATGCAAGTACCACATGCTGCAATTAGCAATGCAAATGTGCTCGAATATATCAAAAAGAACCCAGACGTTCGTCCTAGTAAGTTGCGATAAATATTACCCTTTGTTGATTACGCTAAAATTCAGCAGCTCTTTCTACGACTATGGGAACTGGATGCATTAACTTTTTCTTTGATTTATAATACAGTAATAGTCACTAACTTTTTAACGGTGTTTGGTGCTGAAATAGATGAAAAAGTAGAAAAGTGCAGAAAAATTCACACCAATTTTTTCTAGAACAAAAAGTTACTTTATGGGAAATTTGCATGTTTCAGCGGTGCCAGCAACGGTTCCTAACTGGTTGCGGGTATTGGTAAACAACTGTTGGAGCACAGCACCAGAAAAAAGGCCTCAATTTGATAATGTCTGGCAACAATTCAAGAAGAACGATGCATGATGTGCAGTGCTACCTTTATTAATTTAAATGAAAACTGCATATCTTTTCTCATCAGATGATACATCAACTTCAGCACAAACTATTCCTGAAAGCATGAATGTTGTTAAAATCTTTTGTAATTTGATAAAATATATTTTTGAAGAAGATTTGAAAAAGATGGCATGTTGTTCACGTAACAGGCTGCAAATATATCATTCATGTAACGTGGTACTGGTCAGTTGTGAACGGTGAAAGCTTTGAAAAAAGAAAGTAAGAACAGACGGAATTTTTTCCACTACTATCACCACAGATAAAGAAGTGCTGTTAACTGGTCGTACTGTGATTCTCAAAATGAACAAGACAAGCTTGACCTTCTGTGACTTTGATTCTCAAAATAAATAAGACAAACTTGACCTTCTGTGACTTCGAGAAACCAGTAAATGATTTTACTTGTGGGCATTATTTAGAAGCAAAGAAGCAAGATATATTTTGTTGGGTAAGTTGAAATTAAAAGTCACTGAAAGTGTCATAAGAGCCAAAATTAATATTATTCACAAATTCTATTTTAACCAATAATTATTGAGAAAACAGTTACAAATTGAGTATTTTAAGATTGCTAAACAGAAAGTGGACTAACAAATACGGCGCTTAATACGATCGACCGTACCGTATGCTAAATGAATGCCAACTTTATTAGAAATCGAAAATCTTTCTGGCAATTCATAGACCACCGCTTCATACGAAGTTCATAGTGAGTGGGACAAGTAAATTGCATAAATGTTGCATAGAAAATTTACCGAGTGCGGTTAGGCTTTTCAAGTTTGGTTTGGTAATTCATGAAGAGATTGTTTTTAAATTTGGCGAACGTTTCTTTCAACACTTTTTATGAGAATTACTACAGGGACAAAAGTTTATGGGCATATTTATGGCTCATTATTTCAATTAGAATCGTTATAAATTTGGGATTACTAAAGTTATTAGTAATCATTGTTAATATTTGAGCTTTGTTACCAGTAGCTGCTATTTTATTAGCAGATAATTCTTTGTTTCAGATAAGTTTTTGATATTTCTGGCTTCTATCGCTGTATTTTTAACACGTGTACGCTTTTTTGTGTCCTAGTACATACACTTTCATGCACTGTTGCATAACGTATATTTCAAATTAAATTTATACACTTCTCTAAATCGCTACCATTTTGACCTTCTTGATATGATAAACTGATATTTTAGTAGATATGTGAGTAAACACATATCTAAAAAGTTTAGCTTGTGTTGTTTTAATTGAGCAGTTTTTTGCAGATGAATAATTCGGAATTTGATGGAAATATATCAGTTCATGTGGTTGATAATTTGCTAAGCACACAGTATAGAGATGAAACTTTAGACAGTTCGCATTTCTATTTTCAAGATGACGATTTTTTCCTTGTCAAAGGTATCTGTAATTTTACTTTATTTAACTTCTTACCGAAAGTTGGTAGATTCCAATTGGTCTTGAATTTGAGAAAAACCCTCAAGTATAAGTAAATTACACTCAATACTGAAAGCACACACAAAAAGTTTAAAATTTCAATTATAAAATGGTGAAAATAAAAATATGAAGTATTCTTATCACTGTTTTGACTGCTGAAATTTTTCATCCATTTTTGCTTTGATTCAAAGGTTTTTGATTGAAGTAATCAGAGCAAATTTACTACTAAAATAATTAGAGATGGAAATGCAGGTTCTAACGACTGACAACGAGTATTGAGAATAAAACTCATTAGTTATTACGATATTCCAGTTTTTTTTTCCAGTTACACAAGCGATACTTGAAGATTTTCAAACTAAATGCTTGGAATTTGAATGCGTCAATGAGACCGATTTAGTTGCTTTATTACACGAGGTTTTGACACTTTATTCAATATTTTTTTTAAATATGGAGCATATGGTGTGTTCTTCTCTCTTGGCGACAATTATGTATTATATTTTATGCTCAATTAAAGTCTTTAATGTAGTATTTTAATTGAAAAGCTTTTATGTAAAAAATTTAAATCAATTTCCTTCTACGAGATTTCATTATCCAAATATTTATATTCCAGATATGTAGCGATGGAATATCTGCATTATATAAAGTGTCAATAAGACCAGATAAAACAACTGCTCTATCATCTGTTTTGCAACAGCTTATGTACGAGAAACAAGCTTACTCTTTAATTTTGAAGCTTGCTGAAATGGATGGCATGTTAAATGAATTGAAAGTTAGAAATATACATTCTTTGACTTAAATCAATGCTTTTAATTTCATTTCGAAACACACATTTTCTAAACTTGATTCTTACAAAAATTTTATTTGTTGATCCGGGCATCTATTTTTTTTGCCCTCTAGAAAACTGGTTTCCAAGATTTGTGACAGTCTAATTTGTTATTTTAAATCTATTTGCAGGACTTTCAAAACCAAACAGTTCTTGCTGACTTATTGATTCGCGACCCCGAATTTAGGAAGCTATTGGTATTTTTCATTTTATGATTAGCGCTCACCATCAACTTTTCCAATGTAGTAGGCTCTTAAATCAGAATATACACAGGCTTTTGCTTTCTTGCGCTTATTAATCATCAACTTGTATAGGTGCTTTTGGAGTGGTGTGAAGAAAACGCCAATGATGATCCTGAAGCCATAGCTCAATTGGCTAGTGAATATGTATATTTCGAAAAGCATGGCATGTTAAAGTGAGATTTTATTTGCATTCAGAGAAGTGAATCAGGAAGCATTTATTTGCTGTGAAACCATTTTAATCATTTATCAAAACAAACAGTGTAATATTATTAAAGAATGAAGTATTCATCTCTTTTGCTTGTTGTGGTTTTCGATAATGTTGTAAATTCAGAATATTGAACTTTTCATAAAACTGTGCAACTGAACAAAAATAATTATATTCTCGAATGAACTTTTGACTACTTTATTGTGTTTTAAGTTTTTGTCCTTAAATATGCTACTCAAAATTTACTGATATTTGTTTGATCATGAAAAGTATGCATATATATTCCTGAGAACTATTTTTCATTAAAATTTTGGCAGCCGTATACTTGAGTTTCAGAAATGAAATTATGATAATTACAGGGCTGATACACTTCATGCGCGTATTGTTGGCGAAAAATTCTGTGATTTGGTATACTTTTCTCATCTCTAAGTTAAAAATTTTTTATTTTGTATCTTGTCATGCGAGTATGCAAGACCATTTAACCAACGAATGAGGATTGTCCTAATTTTTAGGATCTGGATGGTGCATTTCATGGACATCAGCATCATAAAGATGCAGAGTTTGAAAACAGAATCTTTAGCGTAGTATATACACTTTTGCGATGTGGACGCATTGACGAGGTACTTAATGCCACTTCCATTTATTGTTTCAACAATTTACTTAAAAAATCTTGTTTTAGGCATATACATTATTGGAAAAATCGGGCCTTCATGCTTTAGCGCCTACCATTTTATTAAGAAAATTTTTTCGAGACTTTAAACTCACTCCGGTTTCTTCGGATGAAACCCTTCATTACTTATCTCGATCTCGTTTTTTTTTTAAACGAACCGTCGATAAAGTAGTTTCCAGAGTAAGTTTTTTCGTTGGTTTATGCCGAGATGATTAACATCGATTGATACTAACTCTTTAAGTTGTTCATAATATTCTTTAAAATATAAAATGGTCGGCATATTGAGAGTTCTTTTTTTCATCTGTATTCGATTCCATTCAAATTCCACTTTTTTTGAAATAATGGGATTCTTCATTCAAAAATTTTGACATTTATACTTTTTTATTTATTCTAGTCATTTTGAAATCAACATCGTGTTGGCGTTCTCGATTATTCTCCTCTTTTCAGGATGCAAGACTTTCCCAAGTAGAAATTTGTTTGTGGTCTGTTTTGGCTGGGCGACTTGAACCGGCATTATCACTGTCATCGCGAAGTGAAGACCGTCTGTGGTGTTACCTAAATGTTGCTGTAGAATCACGTTTAGATGCTGCAATTGCTGCTGCTGATATTACTGATGGTGATTGTGATGCAAAAAGTGATGATCTACAAGTCAATTCAGTTTTTGATGAAATTGCCGTGGTTTGTTTTTGTTCTTGAATTCTTGAACTGAGTATCAAAAAAGCTATTTCGTCAAATATTCATAGAATATGTGTTCTGTTCGTAGTACGGAAAAGATTTTCATCTGTGATATGAAGAAAACTTTGTTCCCATGGTATAAAAATATCATGCTATCTTCAATATAATGTGAAATGGTAACGTACGGAACACATATTCATGCTTGTGAATTAAATATTGCAGCATGAGCAGTCTCTGTACTACACAGTTTATCGTCACATAGTAAACGATGATTCTTCTTCACTCCTTGCATCTATGGATACGTGGTTGGAAAGTCACATAAATGAATTGGAAAGATTCCCCCATATAGTACGGTTCATGGCTCATATCGTCTTACTTCTTCGGTTCACTAATCAAGAAATTCAGGTTAAATACGCTCACTGCTTCTCAGATTACTCTCTCCATGTATTTATGCGCTTGTTTTTTTAAAGAAGCCTTTTGTTAATTTTTATTGTTGAAGGGAAATCGTGAGCTATATAAAGCACCAAAAGTTGATTTGAAGTCAATTTTACTTCGGCAATAAAAATGAACAGAAGGTTTCTTTCAAAAAACACAAACACATGGTGTGCATAATCTAGTGGTCGCTGTATCCACGAAGTAAATTTTGTAAAAATTGACAAAAATAACAAAATATCATTTTAACCCAGACATTAAAAACAAAATAAAAACTTAGTTTCTGTTTAAATGTGCACTTTATTTTATAGACAAAAGTAAAGTGATAATGGCAATGTGTCTGTTGAAAATGTTGGTGTGTTTATTGCAGGAGGAGATTGCTAATTCAATCATAGAGGCTTATGTGCGTTTACTGATTACCCTAAAAATGTATCCAGTTGTTCCATATTATGCTAGTAAACTGCCAGCAGAAATTTCAGAAGAAATAGTTATTGAATTCATGTACAGTAAGTTTTCTAGTTTTGATTTTTTTTAAATAGCTTTTGTTGATTTTTAAAACATGAGACACTTTTTGAGTTATGATCATTTATCACCTACTAGCACTAGTTCTGCTTCTTATTACAGAATTAGAAAGTGATGTAGTGCGTAAGGAAGTTCTTGCTGCCGCATGCGCCGCACAGATGGATAAATCCTCTCTATGCGTGCGGATTTTTGACTATGCATTATCTCGTTGTCCTGTTGGGGAAGACGTAAATTTTTTCGCAGCTTGTAAACTGTACTGAATGCTCATTGAAGTTTCGAGCAGCAATTAATCAATCGTGCAATTATTGAGATTTTGTTATGATCTGATTTTATCACGAAATCAAATCAATATGCACGATATATTTTAAGGAATCTGAAAATGATGACATACTAATTAATGCATGGACTTGGCTCACGTACTCAGAAAATGAAATGCTTGTTGAAGCTCTTCAAGGAGTGGTTGAAATTATGCGGAAATTTTTTTGTAGGTTTGATTTTTTTAAATCTTAAAGTGAGATTGCATTTATCCTAGCCTAGTGTTGTTTGAATGAATAGTTTTGTAGTTGGAAAAATTAAATCTGGCCAAAGAGCATTGTGAAGCTTATATTCCTGTAAACTTTAATCGGTTTTTTGACTTAGATATGAACTTCGAATATACTACATTTTTCAGATGTTGACAAATTGGACAAGGCTGATGAACTTTTTCATCTGTCGAAAAAAATAATAGATAAAACATTAATTTCTCTTTCAAGCTCTATTGAAGAAAATAATTCAATTGACTCAGAGCTTTCAGCTGCTGTGATAGAATATAAAGCGTATGCATGTTATTTGGTGAGTTATATAGATCCATGTTGTGGAATTTCAAGGAAATTGATAATCCATTTCAAAATGAAGTGTGATCTCCCATGTCATCATTTTATCATCAGCAGTGATTCCAGATTTTATTTTTAGCTGTTAAAATTGTTTCAGCTTGCGCTGACAAAATTCAATGAATGGTTCAAACATTCACAACGTTTTATACAGCCCTTTCCAAGTAATTTGCCAGTGGACGCGTCCGTATCTATGGATATGCAGCAACGATTGACTTTAGAAGTAATTCATCAACGCGTCAGTGAACAAGTGCTGCGATACGAAAATGAATTCAAACAGATTACGGCTGTAAGTATTATAATTTAATTTATACTAAATTTTCGAGTTTGATGTTATTAATAATAGTAGTGGTTTTGTAAAGTTTTAAAAACTGAGTTTCATTCTAATATGACTTTTCCAACTTTTGAATGAACTTTTATTTTTCATAGATTTGAGGCAGGCGGAAATTTCTCGTATATATGTAGAAGTTTTTGATGTTTTTTATTCAGGCGGTTGTGAATGCGCTCGGTTGCGTTTTACGTTTTCCCCATGGCTGGCTAAAATTTACAACAGCTCATAGCGAGATATTTTCTGAGGTATCAAAAATTTATCATAATTAATTAGCTATAATCATGTGGAGCACGAGATTCTCATATATGAAAGCTTTATATTTTACTCGTCTCTCTGGAAATACATGTCATATTTAAAAGCTTTAAGAAAAAATGACCTTAAAACTTGATAACTTCATACTTGTTTAGAATGTATTAGCGAAACTTTGTGACATACGTTCTCGTTATGTGACGGCAGTTGTTATAATGTTACTTACAGTATTTGAAAGAAGCAACATGAGTGGATGTGCTCAGTTAATTGAGTTACTTGCTGATGAAGAATACATGATAGGAGAAGTGAGTTCTATCCTTGAATTAATATTATTCTAGCTATCTGTTTCGTTTAATTTCAAAATGAATCAACATTCATTATTTTTTTTTCATATTGATAAGATTATTTTTAACAAGTCAAAGTTGGTTTTCAAAAAATTTATTTGGGCTTCTTATTTTTGGGCAAGTTTATGATACTGTTACACTATGGGGTTTTTAATAAAATATAAAATTATTGCAGACCATCCCTAAAAGACGATTGAGACTGCTCTTAAAGCAACTTTCCGTACAAGCGTATAAGAATATGTGAAACATGGAATTGTTATCTCATAGATGCTTTCTGCACTTTTGAGCACAGTTTGCTAGAACACGGATGAGGATATATGTTGTTTGGTTTAGATATTGTTGAAAACTACTTTTGCGTTTCCTTTGTAACAAGATTGTTCATCTAGTCTTTAAAGTAATCAGTTGTTAAAGAAAACAGTTCCTACAAGTTTCTGATCATTCAAATTGTTGGTCTTGTATACTGTGAATCTAAATTGTACTATGGTACATTCAATGGCAGTTTTCAAGGACAAAGCGTTATGATGACAAGATAAATGCTCCAAATTTATTTTTATGAAATTTACCTTGTTGCACTTTAAAATTGTTGCGTAGATGTCGGTGTTCCTGAACGGTAGGATAGCTGAAATATTACATCTTGATTAAAGATGAGTTCAAGAAGATGTGATATTTTTTTTCATGCTTGTGAAAAGCTCATTTTAATTCAGTACAACCGATCAAAGATTTGTATCTAGATTTTACCGACTGAGTGTGGTCGTCTGTCGATCGGTCGGATTGTAAGGATGACAGTGAGCTTAACTGCGTGGCGATAGATGTAAATTTTTGACTTTTATCTTTTACAGAGTTGGAGAGTTCCAGTACACGTTTCGCTAAGTCTTCGTAATCGTTTGACCTGAAAGTGGGAGTGCAGTCTTTTTTAAGATTACAGTGCATGATTTGAGAATCGAGGGAATGTTTCGAATGGGAGTAATTCTGAAGACGGAAAGAGCTGGTCTAGAAGTAATTAGTTGTTAGCTGCATGGGAATTCGTTCCAGAATTCAACAGTTAAATAAACTCTTCCCATTAGTTACTGATTCTTTTGGCAGAACTTTTAGGGCTTAAGTGAAGTTGACCCACTTTTCTTGTCTCATTAATATTTGTTTGTCTAATTCATCCAGTGTTGCTCTGTAATGTTTTTCGGAATTCTCGCATTCTTCTCTACAACACTGTAATTCGTCATCTCGTTTATTTATCTGCAAATTACAGTAGCTTTTATTGATAGTTTCAAATGCATTCTTTAATAGATTTGAAATTGTTACTGATTTTTGAAATTTTTGAGCCTTTTCAAGACCAATCAAGGCATCAGATGTTTTTCTTTTACAATCAATGACATGGAATCATAAAGTCCATGATTTATTCATCACTTCAAAACCACTCAGGAAGTAAAGGTAACTGCTGAATCTAATAGATTTTAAGCACTGCAAATGGCCCTGGAATATTTAAAATGTATTTTTTTAATTATTTCATGACTTTGATATCCTGCAAATTTCTTACTTCGTTTCTCAATGATAAGACTTCCTTTGTTTTTGCATCCATCTGAAATTTTAATTTAAAATATTGTGCCAGCAAATGATGAGTACAATAAATGAAACAGTAAATCGAGGATCATACTTTTCATTTTTCTCAATGCGTTAGTCCAAGAAAAATTGTTAGCAATTTTTTTCTGGAAAATTCCAGTTCATTTTCTGGTTTAATATTTTATCCGGTTTCTTGGTACCCAGGATATGTGGCAAAGCTTCAATACTATAAGGTGTTTAGAATTACTGTGAAATACAAACTGACCATTTTAAGTAATTCCTCGCAACGTTCAGTTAAAGCAAACTTTTCTTGTCGCAATGATTTATTATCGTTAGAGATAGATTCAGATAGGGTTTTCAGAGCATCAAGTTCCTTCTGCATCCTTCCTCGAGAGTTTCGTATGTCTTCTTCAGCTTTTCGATACTGCTCCAACTGATTTTTTGATAAATTATTATTGACTTTCATTATTTTACGTTAAAACTAATAATTTGCAAATCAGACTATCTAAGCTATTAGATACGATTACAACTTTTTGATTTTATTGATGGGTTGTCAAGTATAAGACGCAAATTGTGAAGTGTAAGTTATCAGAAAGAGCCAGTCCTTGAACATAACCCATTATTTGATACTAATATTTCATTCACAGCTCATCAGTTATTATTATGCAAAGAATAGAATCAAAACCTCATTTGCAACATTCCGACAGCGATCTTTTTCAGCCTCCAGTTTTTCTTGAACTTGGAGTAATTCTGTTTTTAGTTGTCTTTTAGATTCTTGTAACTATAACACTTTTATTAATTTATGCGTTTCTTACGAGTAATTTTTAATTTTAACCTCCCACGTAATTCCTGGCCCGCCTCCGTGATGCGAAAAAATTTTGAAATAGACTTTAAAATCCTGAAAGCATTTTTAGAAGTCTTGAACATATAAAACTTGAAATATGTTGCTGACTTGTGTAATTTCTGCCGAATTCATGTCACTGTTCTTTTGACTGCTATAAGCTTCTTGATTGAGACTTTTAATGCGCATTTCCAGTCGGGATAACTGAGCTGATAATTGTGCATTTTCCTTGATCAGTACATTGTTTTCTTCTAATGTCTAAAATGATAAATTTTGAAAAAGGTAACCGTTATGGATAACATTAGCATAGACAAACTTTCTATTCAAAGATCTGAAGTAATTTTAGTAAAGCAGAACTCGGAAATTGACCTTTTCTGCAACAGCTTTATCTTTTTTAGCAGCCAACTGCTCTTTGCGCAAAATTTGTTTCATCTCCGTGACTTCATCCTGAAAACAGAAACTACTATAATCTCCGTGACTTCATCCTGAAAACAGAAACTTCATCCTGAAAACATCTCCGTGACTTCATCCTGAAAACAGAAACTGCTCATAAGTTTCAAAAAAACATGCAACGATAAATTGTCAAAATTACTGATTATTTTAATGATGATTTGTGAAATATGGTGAGTTATGTAAATTCTTATCGACTTTATTCACTACCAAATACCTTTTGTTATAATCAGTTGTCATATTTACGTTAAAATATTGCACAGTGATACTGTAATTGCAGTCATATGAACAAATTATTCTTGCAGAGCTAACTTATTTTCATAAATGTTACTTCTTTATTTTTCAATAGAGATTTCATGAATTTACCGTAATCACAATAAATAAGTAAATTACAGAGGCTAAACTTCATCATGTTGTTTTCAACTTTAATACTAACAATTAGCGCAGATTCTTTCATCTTTAGTTCTTTGATAGTGTTGTTCAGACGTTGAATTGTTCTCTGTAGCCAGTCATTTTCATTTTTTCGTCCTTCTTCAGCGTTAAGCAACATTTTTTCTTCTTCAATTCTCTTATCAATCGTTACTTGTAATCAAAAATGATTAATAATTTTATTACATAGACTCGATTACGAATAAATAGTATTTGCAGTGGGAAAAATTGCGAAAAATTATTCCAATTTCAGTAAAAGCTTATTATTATGACTACTTTTTAAGTAGTCATAATTCGTTCAAATTAAATGAATTTTTGAATTTTATCGTTTGGTGCTAATATTCAGTTTTTCTGTATTTTGCATTCGGCTAACTTATCACCGTGCATTTAACGCAAAAACATATGACATAAGTTCGCAAATCATAGGTACTGAAAATAGAACTTGCAACAGAAGTTCATCAAAGCAGAATTCTTGAAAATTTAATTTGATAATAGGAAAACCAGTCAGAACTACTCACATATAAACTAAACTTTCGAAAAATATGAGAATCATTATTTAAACTTATCTGTATTTCGTTGAGTTGGTTTGTTGCATATCTCAGCTTATCAATTAGTTCATCCTTCTCACCTTCTACTTTGGCGACGTATGATTCCTTAAAAAAAATGCGTTTTTTTAGTGTCTCATACACTAGCCAGTAATATTTCTGAGTTTAAAAAAATATGCACAATCAGAAGTTAATATTTTCACTACGTAATTCAAAGTAAGTTCACTTTATTACTTTATCAGCTAATGCAGGGGTCAGGTAGTCTAGTCTACGTTGTAATTCCACAGTTTCCTCCATCAGTGCTCTCTTGTCTCTCGTGAAGTTTTCTGAAAGTCATTCGATCATTCAAAAAATATTTCTGTGATTAATTTAAAATATTACAATACAAATGGCTCTATTTATTATTATCGTTTTGTTATTGTCATAATTCCATTTATAAACTAAATATATGATCATTTTCTTGCATACCTTCACTTTTTTGAAATTTATCCTTCAATTCCTGGATATATTCTGATAACTGCGAATTTTCATAAGCAATCCTTTCAATTTCAGTGCTTTTCTGCTTCAAACATTCCTCAAGATTTCTTTCCCTCTGAAGATAATATTCATATCATAGTAACTTTCCAGAATTTTAAAAGATTACAATTTGAATATTCATAAATTTACTGCCCAGCTAATTTTTAGACTATTAAAATGTTTAAAATATATATATAAGAAAGAGTTATTTCGAGTATATATATATATATATATATACTCGAAATAACTCTTTTTGACTTCCATAGAGGTTAATCTTTTTTTTTACAATATTTATTCTGGCACTGAGTTATATTCTAGTACTCTCGCAACACTTGATCGAGCTCAGTTCTGCTGTGCTGATCTTTCCTACTTAGTTCTCGTAGAATGCACGGCTTGATCGAATGAGATGCTTATGAGCTCTGCTTGAGCACTATCGAAATGATTCCGTATGTGATGACTGGATATATATTTTAAGATGATCAAATATACTGATCTCCTTCGCGTAGCGTATATGGAAGTTCATCACTATCCCATACCAAGTAATCGCATACGGAATTATTTTTGTCCTACATTTCATCTCTGACCCGAGTTAATTAGCCAGTACATCATATTTTCATTTTTTCTCGACTGCTTTCAATTTCTTCTGATTAGTAATTTCAATTTCGAGCAGGATTCCTTCTTACCGTGTTGTGCATTAGAATATCTGGACGATCCGCTCTTATTTTGATCGCTATTCTTATTCGCATATCGACTCTTATCTCCACAATCTCATTTGCGACGATCTCCTGAATGAAATAAATTTCCATGCATGGTTATGCTTCCATATATCTTATCAAGCCTTAGGTAGATACATCGTAACATAGCATTATAGTTTTTTTGCTTCACAATTGGCGCCTTCTTTTTTGATATAGGCACGGTTTCTACAAGCAAATTATGAAGCTGAAGAAGCATAAGTTCATTTCTCCCTTCAGTATTATGAATCTCATATCTTCAGCTCCTTCTAGGAATGCTAACTTATAGCCCATAATTCGGTATTAGTAGGTGATCATCAACCCTACTATCTCAAGAAACAGTTTGGATTCAGACCACTGTTCGCATTATATATGCCACTTGAAGCTGCCGTGCAAGATCAGTCATTGACTTGGGGAATTCTGTGTGACATATTCACCCGCTGCTTACTTCACGTATCCAGCATAAGCGGTTCAACGTCTTCCGAAAGTTTTTTCCGCGTCTACTTCGTCTGGTCCTTGTGCATCTTGCATCAGTACAATATATTTTGTCTTGATAAACGTTAAACTCATCTAGCGTCTGTCCTCGATGTAGGTGTCAAGTATCTTGATAAACTTCGTTGTTTCCTTTAAAAACCGCTTCTGCAAGCATGGACGACCTACAGTGCTAGTAACCACTTGCTTTTTCAGTTCATGAAGGCTAATCCTAGACACACGAATCTCTAGCTTCTAGAGCTATGACACGACACATTGACTACCCTTTTTTCTGTATTCTTCCAAAGTGGTCAAGGACCGCTATCAGCACTTTGCCAGGACAGCTGCTTCATGATAGTTCGATTCAATAAAGGATTGCTTTAAACATAATCACATGTTGGCTTTCTCTCTTCCATTCAATTTCCATTTTAATGATACATGGACAGAACATTTTTGTGTTATAAATTAATCAAAATCAAGAATCGGGAACAGTACCTGGTAAGATTCTTCTAGTTTTTGCAAAAGTTCTGCTTGTCCTACACTGCATAATGGTGGTTTCCGAGTTCTCGAAAAATCAAAAGATTTTGTAACCTCAGGATTTGCGTATGAAACCCGTTTACCACTTCTTCCGAGCTTTTCCTTGTCGTTTTCCAAAGCTTCTGCTCCTAAAGATTCTTTTCTGCGCGACACATCAAGGTTCAGAGTTAAAGAACTTGGTGCTAATGAAAATTCACTGCAGTATGAATTATTTTCATCGTTATTTCCAGAATTCTTATCAATACCAGATTTCCTAGAACATACCAACGCTGAAGAACATCAAGAATTTTATGCCTTATGTTTGTACAAAAAATCACTTTTTCTAACTTTTGTAACTTTCAGTGGTGCTTCTAATCAGTCTTTCTCACAGAATCCACCAAACTTATAGAAAATGTGCATAAAAAATTCCTGCTGGAGGAAAAATTTTGCTGAATATCATGAACTTTAAACTTATTCGTTTGTATGACATTAAAAAAAAATACAAATAACATGTTTGAATATCACCGCTCTTTATAGCAAAATATTAACAAACGTACAAGTAATTATTTTCAAGTTCGAGAAGATGAATTTGCTGCTGAAGTTTCCTGGTATACTGATCTTGTAAATGTGCTGTTGATAGTTCATAATCATTGTGCCTATTTGGGCAAGTACGATTTCTTAAATTGATAAAGAATTATCTTATGATAAAACGTTCTTAGTACGAAGAATTTAATAATGCACTTTAAACTTATTAATAACGGAAAAAACCCAAAAGTTTATATCTTGCAAAACTGAAAATTCATTCTACAGAACTCAGTCTACAGATATAACAAAATTGGTAGCCTTTTTAAAAATCAGCGAACTAAGCAAAAAACTTTATCAGAAGCAGTAAGATATGGTATTCTGATAACTCAAAATATTAATAGCGCTGAGCAACAATAATAATTATTCTTCGGTAATAGCAATTTTTTAGTAGCATTTTTCTATCAAACAATAACTTGAAGTTTAAAATAATCGAGTAAGGGTCAAAAATTGTTACTTTTTTGAGTTATGAGGTGAAGTTGCCAAATTTCGAATATTACCAATACTACTACTTTTAGGAAAAGCTGACATTGTAGAGGTGCAAAATTGAGATACACTACGGGGTGGTGTCAATTTAGATCCTGAAGATGAGACTTTATGTGAGCTGCTTTGACTCCTTGTATTACTAGAATTCACGTAACCCGTGCCTGAAAACGTCTCTAGGGATTTGCGTTTCCTTTTTGTACACCAGTATTAACAAAGGTAACATGCATATTTAAACTAACGTTTGTAAAAGTGACAAGTAAATTATATACATATATAATTTAAGGTACTTGTGGACGATAGACTGTGCTTGATCTTGGAAGGAAAACATTATTTCTTCGTTATTTCTGGTTTCTATCCTTATCTTTGTTCTACCTTAATCTATTACGGATATGTTGTGACGTTATTATGAAAGTAAATATCCAGAATACCAGTGTGGCTATGCATCGAAAACCGTGGTATCAACAGTCAAATACGCTGAAACGGTGGAAACGGTAGTAATACGAGAAAACATTCCGTCAATCAATCAGATCAGTTATTGTTTCAATAGAATGCTGAAAGGAGAATGGCTATTATGTTGTTTTCTGCTAAGCAAGGTATGCGATTAGTCTCTGAGTACCGAAGAAACAAGCGGATTCTGCAATAACCAGTACTGCACGTCATCAGTGCTCAAGAAACGGTCCTTGGAAGGGTCAAAGAAACGTATCACACAAGACGCATAGTTCAAGCAAAATTCGCTACACGTTTCTAAGGCTTATATAGATTTAAAGCAGATATACTGGTGCTGATGCAAAAGGCTCAGGGACTTGAAATAAATTATACAAAGTAAACGTGGAAAATAATCTCAGAGAATGCTGACCCACTTATACTTGCAGCGGTGGATAAATATGCCATACAGAATCCTCCCCAATAGATAATCAGCATTCTCCAATAAATAATCAATACTGCATGGAAGGTCGAGAACTTACAACAATGCTATGAAGAAATGGCATGGCGGGAAAAAAAGGCATCGCGTTGGAAGGTCGCTTACTCGAACTTCTCGATTATGCGACTACTTCATTTCGGCAAAACTCTCGTAGAGCGTTATTTGACCGGCAAAAATTGAATTCTAAACACAGATAGTGCTCAAGAAGACGTTTCAAAGTAGTTCAGTTGATCACGACTATGAATTTTAAGAAGATGGAGTAATGAAGACCATCGCAACAAAACTTAGTGCGGAATGAATACACACGATTTCCCGAATAAACATCTGAATCAATAGTGCGGATCAAAGGCATACTAACCTTCAGGATTAACTTCTTTCTATTCAAAACATATATTATGAGTATGTTTGAGATTGAGATGTTCGAAGCGACAGAAATCAAAACTATTGTATAACTTCTAACCTTTTATGTAAAGGTTTCCAGTTGAACCGAACTGTCTTTGTTGCCGTTCGTTCATTGCATGCAAATGAACTGTGCATTTTATTGCTTACAATATTACGTCAAATGCATTAATCTTCAGTTACCAGTGTAAGTAAAGTAATAATAAAGCAGAAGGATAGCAGTAGAGTGATTCGAAGGTTTATTTCATTAATCTCATTATTGATGAGTAGCACAGACTAAAATGAATGAAATAACGATTACTAAGTAATTCCATGGTAATTGTATTCGTAATTATTTATTGATAATGAATATGAATAACTAGAAGCACTGAATGATACAGAAATCAGAAATTATGGCAGTGAGATCAATCAAATTTTGAAATGATATTTTGCTTTGAAATTCAATTGTACATCAGAATGGATAAGTTTGATTTTTATTTTCTGATTGAAAAACGAAAGATAGCGTCAGTATTTAAAAAAGTTCATGAACTCAAACGTACAAAAGTTCTGAGCAAGCAGTCCTTCCGATTTAAAAAGCAAATCGAAATTACCGATGCAATCTTCTTCTAATGAAAGTTATTATTCTTCAAGCAATTTTCTAACTGCTCAATAATTTTAGTCATTGAGAACAAAATAAGTTAAATTATTAAGCAGATAGACAAATGTGTTAGTGATCTTAAAATTTGAATTCCATTAAATACAGTAATAAAACGATCTTTATTTAAAGTAAATAATATTTTATCAAAGTATAAACTAGACAAGTTGCCATGTAGTATTGAGCTAGAAGACTTCTATGTTGCTCGAGATTTAAGTAATGTTCGGTTTCCCAGGTAACCAATACCTAGCCTTAATAAAATTCAAATTTTATTACATCTCACTTTTGCAGTAGTTTACACTGAGCTATTAACGACAATCTATAGTTGAAATAATGATATAAGCAGAATAGCACGTATAATAAGCTAATTCACTGCACTCACTGCACTCATTGCACTCACTGCACTCATTGCACATATATGACAATCCATTTTGAAACTTGCAAACAATTTTTGTTATAGAGCAATTTTTCGAACGCTGGACTCGGTGACAACTGAAAAGATGTTAGATTTATACTAATTTTGATGCGTTGTTTTATTTCCTGTTGCTAAGTACATTAATCAGTAGCTGAGATAGAACGTTGAGTAGAAAATAGAACGAGGAATTCACAACCTTACGAGGAATTCACGACCTTAAGGAAATCTCAAGTATTACTCGATACTCGAATGAGGTGTAAACAGTGAAGTAACACACTGAAAGTAAAGATAACTTGATATACATATTACTTATGGTAGTAATTAAAAACTGCATTGTTTGATTGATCTTTTAAGGTCCCGATATATCTAAATGACCATCAAAAAGCAGTAGTTTCAGAGTTTTGGAATTTTTGAAGATCAATATTTTATCGTCTCGAAACCATGGTAATGCGAGGTTTATACAATTTTTTTCTTTTTTTGTGAATAAGTCATTTTTGTTTAGTATTAATTAAGTAGTTTCAGGAGTTTATTCTCGCTGTCGATTAATATACCTCCTGGTAAATTTTTTTTCAAGAGTACATCAAGAGTAATGGTGATTTTTTTTAACAGCAAAACTACTTCCTTGAGAATCAAATCCGTTCACATTGTCAGTTAGATTTTCGCGTTCAAACTGTTTTTCATCAGAATGTGCAAGTGCTACAAATGCGTGACTTTCAGAAAAACGCTTCTCGCAAATGTTGCGCATGATTTTTTACTATCTGCGTGTAAGAATACTCCAAAGTGTGCAGTTCATCAAGCAAATCACACATACAAAATGACCTGTCTATCTGTATGTCGACTGCATGAATAAGTTGGTCCACTCAGAGGTGAAGAAGAGAATAATATGAAATGAATTTTGAATTCCTTGTATTTTCACGTGAGCACAAGTAAGTCCTTCTAGTACTACGTGAACAACTTGTTATTTTTCACCATATTTTTAGAGCAAATCTCAGTAATATTAATGCAATTACAAATAATATTAATCATATCTCATCCCGAGATTAAACGTAAAGATAAACAATTGAGAGCTGTAAATGTACATTTTTTCTTCATTCTACTTTTTTCCATGAATAAAATTTTGTTTTTGATTACTTACTGAGTAAAGTAAACGTCTTTTTGTAGTAATTATCATAATGCAAAAAATCGACTTATTAAATAACTGTTTCTTCAATACTAAATTCCAAATTCAACTATGAAAGTTGAAAACTTGTTCTTCTTATGTAAGCGCTTAACGCCTTGCGATATTCACATTACGCGGTGTACAAATTCATCTATGTCATTCTTTTCGTAAACATTCAGCATATTGAAACACGTCAGTGATTCTTCAGATTTCAAGCATATACTTGTCTGGATTAAATATATGAACCTTTGCTTGGTATCTTGAGGTAAGCTGGGCATTAGTATGAATTTTAACAATTGGTCTGTTCTAACGTTACAGTTTATTACCAAACAATACTTCAAAAAACATGTCCATAAAAGCAAAAATTAGACGAATATCAATGATTTTCACACTATCATCACCAGCGCCCATATTAATATGTGCATTAGAAGGTATTGAGTTGCCAAATGAGCCGTCACTTGACCTGAATATTGTTTTGATTTAATCAGAAAATCACTTTATATATTGAAAATCAAATACTGCTAATTTTGTAAAATTTTGCTTTGAATTTTGGTTATTGCAATAATAATATTTGCAGTGCTTTAGTTCAAAAGTTTATCACTAAATACGGAGATGGAAGACTAAGTGCCAGAAGTGACGGAAAGTTTACGTTAATTATCTAACTTTTAACAAAAATTTAACTCTTAAAAGCATAAGATGCTTCAAGATAAGAATTTTAAATAATATCTACTTGTCAAAAGCTTAATATGAATACTTTCTGCACTACTTGCTGCAGTCGTATTGTGCGTATTAGCCGTAGGTGATGCTGTAAAATTAGTTTCTTCACTCGCATAAGTCATATCAGACATAAGTGATGTTGAACTTTCTTCACTT